CAGTGTAAAAATTAACTTCCATTCCGTGATTACAAATTCCTTTCTCGTTTCGTTGCACAACTTCTTCCGTGGCTCGCTGTGGATTGTTTCGATTAGGCTTTTTTAATCACACGTAGATCAACCGTGTACCCAACTCGCAAACACGAAATACGTACAAGACTCGAATCTATCCTGCGCGAGACCGCAAAACGATATTCTAAACACATTTTTACACAGTACGCATCATTTCGACCGAACCACGATCAAATATCGTCGATCAGGTTCCGTTGGTCAATGTTTAATCGCAACCGATCGGACGATAAATCTGCTCATAATTCTTATCTAATCGCACAGATCGAGACACCAAAACTTACTTTCGCCGTTCGACATTACCGGCGTCATTTCGAGCGAATGATTCTCCATTAAATCCTCGATCTTAAGAAATCAATCGACATCGATCAAGCCTGTTCTCCGATCACCAAATTTTTACATCGAGAATCCCACCCTCCTGGAAATATCTCGTTAAAGTAGAAAAAAAAAGAAATCTCGAATTCATCTCATTCGTTCCACTTTTCGAGGGGCAAGAATTATCAAATGGAATTATTACTGAATCTGGACCAGTGCTGTCTACAGATTCGAATCTTCGGAAGCTTAAAGCTTTCTTATTCCGCGGAAAGAGTCGCTTTATTCTAGAAACATTGTTCCTATAAATCGACGGAACTTTTGCATTTCCAAAAGCAACGATGAACAATTAACCACGAATACTTTCTCGTTGGCTGTAGCAAAGAACAAAAACCTCGAATATCCTTTTGGATGGAAATATCCATGACTGTACAGGATGTTTCAAAATGAATATACAAGAAACTTCAATGAATCGTTTGGGTGGTCATCCTGAATAAAAGATAAGACATAAATATAAATTCTATTCTCAACACGTGCTCGTGAAGATGTACCTTAACAGGTGATCGGCAGGAAATCTAACACAGAATAGAAGAATATCAAGTATTAATACCCAGGTCACCTTCAGGCGTGCCCCATAAAAAAACCAGCGTAAAGGCCACTTCATATCAAACTTGTGACACTACAGTAGAACTTGAAGCTATTCCAACTACTACTAACACTAAAATCTACGTTCACATGACAGTTTCTAATCAGTATAATCTTCCAAACATAAGTGTGGGAAATCCTATTTTGATATTCGACAGCACTGGTCCAGAGTTGTGGAAATCTGTTCAAGGAATCAAAAAAGGGCGACAGGGAAGACGAACGCCCCCTCGAAACACACACACACACACACACACACACACACACACACACACACAACTCTCTGGACCAATGAATTTTACACTAATCGTACCGTCACCCGAATCTATGCTTCCGTAGAAGTCAGATCCCCATCCCCTCCCTTCCCACTCCCCTGGTCTCTGGATCCTAAGTGAACAAACTGCACGGGATGCATCAGGAAACAAACGATCATCCCCGCGTTCACAGAACAACAAGAGCTAAACCTACAACAACAGCACACTGTGTGTCTATCGTAATCGTATATTTAGCCATCTGTATATCGTGTATGTTGAATTAATCGTGAACCACGAGCCACTGTGAACGATGTCAAAAGAGGACACGTCTGTACTGATCCTCCAGGAAACTGTAAATCTTGTCCACGGTGACCTTGACACACGATGCGACGCGACACACCTGAGGAATTTTTTTTTGTCGGTGAATTTGATTCGATTCTTCGTTCATTTTGCTTTATTCTTCGAGTGCATGGGAGCTGCAATGATTCGTGCCGCCTTGGACTATGTGTTACGTGGTCAAAGGCGGCACGAATATACTGGCATGCTGTGTCTGGACGGAATTTGATTTCGGATATAGGTATTATTTCACAATTCTATTTACACTTCTGTCGATATATTTTACTATTGCCCGGTTCCGGTTATATCGTAATGTCACATAATACTACGAATAGGGTGGATGCACCCTAGTAGATGAACACCTACCCGTGAACATTATATATAAAAACTAGTAAATTAAATTATTAAAATAAGCAATTGATTAAATATTCATTTTTTCAATTTCTTCTTTAATATTCAAACAATTTTCGCGCTACTAGTTAAAAATGTTCATTTACTTAATATTGTTTCTTCACTGGTGAAATCTATTTTTTTGACATTTTAATTTAATTAATTACATTTTTCCAATTTTTCAAATTAAAATCTGCACGTTATAAAAAACGTATAGATATTAAAAAATCTAATTTCCAGTGTGCGAAATATTTTAATATTATTATCATTTAAAATTCATCTTTAATAGTTACAAGTTACAAGACCATTCATTGGTACGTTATCCCAAATCTATTCTTTAATATTTCTCCATTCTAGCTATACAAAATTTATCCGTTAAAAACTAATCAGCGCCGTTAAAAAGTGGACTAATTGCCCATGTTCTTTCGAACTGTAGATTCAAAGAAACTTCAGTCGGACGTATTGAAACCATCATGGCGGACGTGCCCTCTTCGGACCCAGAACCGCGTGTAAAATGATCAAAGATATATTCCGCGTCCGCGACGGAGCAAGGGTGTGTATGTGCGTATGCATGTATATAAAAAACATACATACATATATATATATATATATATATATATATATAAAGTACATACATACGACACACACGTGTACATTGCGTATACATATTATACATAACAATTAGCGTCGCAAGCGTGCATACACAGCAGAGAACCGTAGCGCGAAGGAGGCCACTATACATAATATACATAATGATAAACCATACATATAAATATATACATAACGAGGATTAATTGTAACGTTGTAAAGCTGCGAGTAAGATGGCCGCACAGAGTTACTAAAAAATTGAGTAGTATCGAAGAGACGAGGACGAACACAGGAGAAGGAGATAGGGATTTATTTTTTTGCCAAGAAACAAAAAAAAAACGGATCAGAAAGAGAGAGTGAGAGAGAGAGAGAGAGAGAGAGAGTGAGAGTCAATGGTGTATTTTTCGCGTATCAAATTATAGCACAGAGGACCGAGTACTCTGCTGCATGTTCCGATTGCGTGTTATAATAGTCAATCTGTTCCGTTTTGCGAGTGACCGCGGATCACATTTGGATGCGTGTGCGCGCGCGCGCACGCCCGAGAATTGTGATATGTGTGCCACCGCGCACACGCATATATGTATACAAAGAAGAATATACAAGAGATATTCAATAAAACGCCAATATTGTGATGTGCATTCCGTGGACACCACCCTGACTTCCTGTTTTTCAACCAGGCCACCACAAAATAATAACGCAGGTAGGCGATGGTCGTAACCCTCGTCGCGTCTTGGGCCGTCCACACAGTCACCAAACCGTCCTAAACAGGTATTCCTATACAACTGCACATTATTTATATTTCGACGATGACTTCCAGGAATCCAAGAAACAATACACACACCAAACCCCACTTCTTCCAACGCATACTACCACCTCTTGAACCACCTACACCAACCAAATTTCTGCATTTTCCACCAATCACAAATCACAAGTCGATCCGTTCCAGCAAGCATCTATACATTCACTCATTCACCAGGACACATTCAACCGTCAACACATCGATCAGTCGGAACACACCAGTGCACACATACACATACATCGCATTATTAAGTTTATATTAAAAAGTGTGTTACTGAGTCGTGTCAATCATTCAAAACACATATTACCACACATCATCACATCATCTTTCCAACGAGCTCCGCGGTATTAATTTATCAAAGAGCAGTGGTTAATCGCGAGCTTATTGCGAGTACGCCGCAACAATAATGTTTCAACAATCTAACGGGATAAGAATCAATTTCGATAATGTTTCGGATTTGTGGAAACGCGTTATTTTTGTAGGAAATGTGACGTATAAATATTAATAATATGGTCTTTATATCTCAACTATACAGGGTGAGTCAATAAGTACTACTATCTCAGATAACTCGTTACCTACTGATACATAGTATCAGAAAACGTTTTAGTGAATTATGTAGCATTCTAAGGGACGAATCTGATGAGTACAATTTGGTTTTGACCTTGAGTTCTTTGAGTAAGGTTAATGCATCTTTTTTTTAATACCATCGTGCTATAGGTTGTTAAAGTCGTCCTTCAATTGGCAACAACGTGATAAAAAGAGATGCATTAAGGTTAACTTGATACCTTACAAAAAAATCAAATTGTATACATCCGATGTATCCCTTCAATAGCTACATAATTCATTTAAACGTTTTCTGATACAAACCATAACTAATGAGTTATTTTAGATAGTAGTTCTTATTGATTCACCCTGTTTGTGTTCAAATACTGTCAACTAATTGTAAAATTGTAAAGTATATACCCACATTGGCCAAACTGTTGTTCGCGAGCCACATACGATTCTTCTAGACCCCTACCACATTTTTTTATAAGCATAACACATACTATATATACAAAATTTAATACCGTTCTAATAGAGAATGCGTCTCACAAGTATTTCTGACAGACGTTACATGGCTCCTATCCTGACAAGGTTTGGCCACCAATGGTATATATTATGGCTTTTATTAATAGAAAAACTCATAAAACAAACGGAAACTATAATATTTCTTTGGTGCAGGAATTTTGTTTCAATGAACTCGAATTAATTAATTTTGTTGCATTGAATTTTTGTTATTTCGATCATTTTTTGTCGAGCAGAATCAGATGTAAAAAATTCGCAATTATTAATCAATAACCGACCCCCGCGTGAATTGACCCATTGATTTATTGGCTTATGGAGTCAGTTACGAAATTCAATTGATAGAAGAAATTAATAAAACACAAGCTCTGGCTTCAAATTATCGCAGCTACCTTTGATAAATGTCAAGTGATAAGATAAAATTCGAAATTGGAACGTTGGATCGTGAAAAGATTAAAATTTTAATTAATGGAATAAGGAAATTAAATGCACATCTACAGGGATCACTAACTTTAAAGTATATTTATTATAATTATATATTAAAATTACGATAATATTACAGTTACAGATTACTATAATAGGATTCGTGCTTGACCATATTCTCTGTCACTTCACTGACCGTTCTACACCCTAGAAATTTATTAATATAATTTATCAGATTCTCGTGTCTATACGGGCGACTTTTAATTTTTTTTTAATCGAAATTGAATAGTGCGTTTGTCAATGTACCTGTCAGTGCGAAAGCCAGATCGATTTCTTTTCTAAAAAGTTCGAGAACGCGTCGGGCGCCATTTTCACCCGCGTGGGAGAGACCCCATAACATTGGTCTACCGACGAACACCTAGAAAAAGACCAGAGTTTTCGTTTAACTTTAAAATCTCCAAAAAGTTGTCGTTATTCAAAATCACGACAGATTTATTTGATGAATCTGACAGAAAAAAGATGTATTTTATGTTTATAATGAAGAAGGTAAAGAAAAGTCACCATTTTAGCACCCAAAGCAAGCGCCTTGAAAACGTCGATCCCTTGCCTTACACCTCCGTCCAGGTAAACTTCGATTCTTCCATTTACAGCCTTAACAATTTCCGGTAAAGCTTCGATCTATAAATCACATTATTTTTCTATTATTCGGTCCAAGCCACATCAATCCCAAAAATTAGAAAAAATTCCATTGACAATGTTTGTCTGTATAAGTGTAAAAGTAATGTAACAAACCGAAGCGGGAATACTGTCAACTTGTCGAGCGCCATGATTCGAAACAATGATCGCTTTAGCCCCGTGTTCTATAGCTAAGACTGCATCCTGTGGTGTAAGGACGCCCTTCAGAACAATTGGTAAACTTGTAACGCTGCCGAAAATGATAAAATAAGTACTCTTTCTAATTGTTACGATCGTAAACCATCGTTTTCTTTTCACACCTTCGTAGCCACTTGATGTCGTCCCATGACAGAGAGGCGTCAAACAAACTTGCTACATACTCGTTCAAACTAGAACCTGTTTTTGTTGTATTTACTCCATTTGACAGAACTCCGTCAAAATTACCTAGCCTAAATTCATTTATTCCATTAATTAAATGAATGATAAAATAGTAAATAGCGTTTTATCTTTTAAGGTGCAAGTAGTTGAAGAAATCCGTTACGTCATCTACTGTAGAATGTCCAAGCTATTAACCAATTAATACACTTTCCTTGCCACTAGATAGCGCCATCACGTCTATTCGTGCATGATTTTCTTAAATTAAATACATACTAATTAAACAATAATTGTTACTGACATTAACCATGCAGGAGATTTTAGAAGACAATTAGAGGCAGAGCACATGTCTAGTTTAAATGTATTAGTACTTTGATTTTTGAAAAGTGCTAAAGAATTAATGACGTCGCCTAGCGGTGTAAATGCGATACTACTTAGCTAGTAGTTTCAGTATTTTACCGTAGATGACACCACAAGTTTTTTCGGTCAATTTCATTTTATATACGAAACAATTAAATATTAATGAAAGACACTACATTCGAGAATTATTAATGTACAAAATTAATTCAGCAGATAACCAGACGCTATTGGAAAAAATATTTTACTACAAATCTAGCTAGTTCTCTTGATTTTTCTATGTTTTCAAAACTTCACCCAGATACCACATGACGCCTTGCAGACGCCCATTTTACGGCTATTTTAGGTCTGAGACGCCTTTAAGGCGTCATGTGCTATCTGGGAAAGTACGTACTATGGGATGGATAACTATTTTTTCTGTCAGTGTATTGTATTTGAGAGGTAAACATATAACGTGATGTGTATATTATACCTCAAATGACTTGGTAACGTAAATTTGTTCCTAATATCGGCTCGCCTATCTCCAAACAACGGTGCATCGACTGTTAGAACAAGTGCTTTGAAACCTGCGCGTTCTGCTCGTTGAACTAAACTTAATGTAACATTTCGATCTGTGTATATATACAGTTGGAACCATTTTATTCCTTTTGGTGCCGCTTTCGCTACTTCTTCGATGCTACTTGTTGCTATTGTAGACAATGTGTAGATGGTACCAGCTCCTTCAGCGGCTGTAAATTAAAGAATTTTATTATATTCTTTCCACGATTCTGCTTAATTAAAATAAAACTGTACCAGATCGATACACCTAATAAATTTGTTTCATTTATTAATAGATCTAATACAGACTATACTTGTAAATTCAAGTAAACATATGTCTGTAATCGAAATTTGGAACTTCATTGTTTGGATATGGTTTCGGTTCAAAACATCTCAAGAAACGAGATTTTTTGTCATCATTATTGCATAGCCGATTATTAATGTATATTATTGTTTAAATATAAGGTGATATTTATTAAAGACTATTCACTTTAAATGTAGTAAGAATAATAAAAAATCTCAGGACTGTATCTACAGTAGTGAATATATAGAAGCCTCATTTTAAACCAGCGGATGGAATAAAAAGACAAAAACTGAAATGGTGGGGATAACATTTCAGTGTCTTTAAACAACCAAAATGGTTTACTTCGTGTTTCTTACAATTCCAATTATAGCTCATAAACCGTCTTATATCGACACAAATTCAGTACATTAAGAAATGCATTTTAACTGCATCGAGAATGCAACACGCTCATTGAGAAGTGCTTCGATCTCTGGGGATCGATCCTCAGTCGACGAGTGGCAACCGTGTTTGACTCATGCATTTTATCGTAACAAATTGTCGAAGGTTTTATATCGTAGATAACAGCTGATAAGCCGTATTTTCCTATTCATGAGGTTAGTTTTGATTAGTTAGTCGGCGAGTCGGTAGTCAGTGGCGGTTTTTCGTTAGTGTTATTCCACGACATGACCGTTTCACGATGATGAAAAGAAATGTGATAAGCCTGATAAAGTTTTTCTTCCTTGCGGCTTTCACCGTTTTTCTGACCGTTGTCATATTTCGTTACGTGAGGGCATCACCTAACCATGAAATCGCAACGCCGGTGGCCGTGTTCGTCACCATCACCAATGACAGTCCGAAAAATTCGATCGATTCCAGACAGACTTTCAACGAGCATCTCTATCAGGTACGGGCCAAAGACCTGTTCATTATAATGGCAAGGTTGTACGGTGCAAGTGAAACAGGTTTAGCGATAGCTGAACCTTCTGCATTCCACGCAGTACCGTACTTTTACTTTCACGCACCCCTTCGTAAACGACATGACTTTATATCATATAAACCATTATTTTATATCAGAGTTTGAATAAAATATTGTTTAACAGGACGAGGAAGAGAAAGTTGATTGGCATGATTATAATAAAATTGCAGAAGATACAAAAAGAAGTGGGACGGGTGAACAAGGAAAACCTGCATTTCTCTCACCCTCTCTTGATTTGCTGAAGGATAAACTGTATCAGGTAAATGGCTTCAATGCTGCACTCAGCGATGAAATTTCAATGAATCGCTCAATACCTGACATTAGGCATCCAGATTGTAAGAAGAAGAAATACTTGAAGAACCTTGATCCAGTTTCTGTGATAGTCTCCTTCCACAATGAACACTTCAGCACTTTAATGCGTACTTGCTGGAGTGTCATCAATCGTTCACCCGAGTCTCTCCTTGAAGAGATCATATTGGTTGACGATGCTAGCACTAAGGTGGAATTGAGTGAAAAATTGGACAATTATGTTGCAGAACATTTGCCCAAAGTGAAGATTGTAAGGTTACCGAAGCGTTCTGGACTGATTAAAGGTAGACTGGCTGGAGCAAAAATTGCAAAAGCAAAAGTACTTGTATTCTTAGATTCTCATAGCGAAGCCAATGTCAATTGGTTGCCACCATTGCTAGAGCCTATCGCACAAGACTACAAAACGTGTGTTTGTCCATTTATTGATGTGATTGCTTATGAGACATTTGAGTACAGAGCACAAGATGAAGGAGCCAGAGGAGCTTTTGACTGGGAACTGTACTACAAACGATTGCCATTATTGCCAGAGGATCTTAAAAAGCCTACAGAGCCATTTAAAAGTCCTGTCATGGCTGGTGGGCTTTTTGCAATCAGCGCAAAATTCTTCTGGGAATTAGGCGGATATGATCAAGAATTAGAGATATGGGGTGGTGAGCAGTATGAATTGTCATTTAAAATCTGGCAATGTGGAGGCCAAATGTATGATGCTCCCTGCTCGAGGGTGGGTCATATTTATCGGAAATTTCCTCCTTTCCCCAATCCAGGCAAAGGAGACTTTTTGGGAAAGAATTACAAAAGGGTAGCCGAAGTGTGGATGGACGAGTATGCTGAGTATATCTACAAAAGACGTCCGCATTTAAGGTCACTGAATCCTGGAAATATAACTGCACAACGGAACTTGAGGCATAGATTACACTGTAAACCATTCAAGTGGTTTATGGAGAATATAGCTTTTGATCTTGTTGATGTTTATCCGCCTATAGAACCCGATGATTTTGCATCTGGAGAGATTCGTAACATGGGTGTGCCTGAATTGTGTCTGGACACAAAGAGGAGAAAGAAAGATGGACTTGCAGTAGTTGACGTCTGTATGAAGGACAACCCAACAGCTGATGGAGAACAGGAATTCCGATTAACTTGGCACAAAGATATCAGGCCTAAGGAACGCACTGATTGTTTGGATGTTTCCAGAGGGGATACAAAGGCTGTTGTGACTTTGTATCCCTGTCATGGTGGCCAAGGAAATCAGTTATGGCGATATAATGTCGAAAAACAATGGTTGATGCATGGTTATTCATCCAGGTGTTTGGACACAGATCCAGCGAGCAAACGAGTCTTTGTGACAAATTGTGATTCAGCTTCTGCTACACAAAAATGGAGAATTGAGAAAGTAAATATGAAGGCCATTAATAATTGGGATAACGTGGGACCCAAACGACATTGATTCCTTTGCTGCCTACTGCCATAGATTTCGTAGTCCCTATTTAAGTACCATTTTCACTCGTATATGTAAATACAAATATATTTCCCTTACATTAACTAGTCATATAAAATCATAATTTTTTATTTCAATTTTTCTTCACAATGGTTCCCAAGGAAACATATTTAGAATAATCAATTTATACTATATACTACAGTAAGTATCCTTTATAGTAATTCCATCATATAAAATCGTGTCTTTAAAAGCATTCACGCTAATGTAAATATTGTATGAACCCTCTGTTGTGCCTTAAACGTATAACTGCATTTAAAACTATATATTAATTACACTAATTACTTGCTAAGAGTACCGTTCGCTTTACTGCTCAATTTTTTACAGACAACAGACGTCTTTATTGTGACAGTACATGTAAGGATAGATAAAAACAAATAGGAAAATTTCTTTAATGCCAAACTTCTAAGCGGTTAATTAAGTTTCTTGACTGATAAACAATTTACTTCTATAATATACGAGATCATACATTAATCAATCTTTTCCCATCTATTGTTAAGCGAAATTCTTCTGTACAAGTTATTCAAAATAAACCAGAAGCTCCGAGTACGGTTGAAATACGACTAACAAACAGTTATTCTTTGAAGATATCTGAGAACATATCATCTCTGCATACGCGTTATCATATAGTGATCACTTGATAACGTTTTCGTAGACTCGTGTGTATTTTGTCATTTATATTTGTAATTACATATGGAACAAATGATTAGTTACTGTATAAAAACAAGTAAAATGAGAAAGAATATTTTATGGAAATATTCTATTTTATAAAGAAAAATGATAGACAAGGAAACCGTACATTATTTTTATTGTACTCCACTTATTCATATACATATATATATGTATCCATTCTTATATCTTTGTACACTTATAACAATTTGTAAAATTATGAAAGTGGAACGAATTCTATGCAACTGTGATCACGGTATGTTTTTGTTATCGCGACTATTTTTGTAAACCGTTCATATGATTTAATGAACATTTTTATTAAATTTATATGAGGTATAATAAATGTAATTCATTGTAAACCGAAAGGAATTGATTCGAAGACAATTCTTTTGAAATAAAGTGTTGCGAAAAGAAATGGAATAGACGAGAGACCACTGAAAGGTGAAAGAAAAAAAAAGGTTGTATATTATTTGTATATTAAAAATCAAACTCACCCCTTGCGTTTGCACATTCGCCATCGGGATGTGCCATGCGTTGCATAGCTGTGGGCGCTACCCCTAAAGGCATTGAAATCTTTTCACCTAAAATCGTGGTACTTATGTCCCGTTTGGAGACATCTCTCAAAAATCTGGGCCGTATTCTAAATCTGCAAAGTGCAATTATGACTTAGCGTCGATAAAGAAAGTCATTGTTGAATTAGTGCGCACGAAATTACCGTTTCATATAAACAAATGCAAAGTAAACATTTTTTATCGATTTCGGTTTTGAGAAGGCTCATTTGTTTGTGCAAATTCACGATTTTTGACACTTTGGCAATTGTACACTTTTCAATCTGTTAATTTACACACTCTATACTTGCATCGTTACTCTACTACTAATAATATTTAACAAATTGTAAATTGTTTATACGATTGAATGGCGAAATGAGTTGAATAATATTTTACCAAATACTTGAATTAAATAAAAATTCATTTCGTCTGTATACTCTCGGTATACGTATGTACCTTCGAAATCTGGGTGAACTAGTTATGTATTCTTCTTTAACTCATTAATGGTAAGGTCTGGGTCAAGTTTAATTTTTTAATTATTTTTCAAACTACTGAATTACATAAGATTCGCAATCTATTTCCGATTGCACCTATCTAGCTTCATTATTACTATTTTGCGTTTAAGATATACAAAATGTTTATTTAATGTTCTATAACTCCGTGCACCGTTTTCCTTTTCATACGTACTTCCTAAATGCTTCCGTGTTCAATTTCAAGCTGAACTGCTCTCCCGCCCCTGAATTGTAATAGTCTCTAACAGTGGGCGGCAAGTTCTTCTGCGCGTGTATCTCGTAATCCTCCACGCAAACGAATTGATTCATTTTCTCTAGAACAAATCCGAGTCGTTTTGTTCAATTTTCCCCGCTAAAACCACGGTTCAACTAGTCACAAAATGATGGAACAAAACATGGTTTTTTACGTTAATCAATAGTTGCTGAACACGATGCTGATTCTAGTTTCTTCCCGTCACATTACCAAGTCTATAAGCTTTTTAGACATAAAATTAGCGCTGTTTAGGTTGATTTATTTCTTGAATTACTCATCCGGTACAATTTTTCTGACCTTATTTCTATCGCACTTAACAAATAATAATGAATTTATTGATTAGTTATTAATGATTTATGAATTAATTCTTAAAATCGTGGTACAACCGGCTGGACGATGATTCTATAAGAAAAAATGTGCCCAAAAAAAATCATTGTGTTCAGCAATTCAAAATTAACTAAATGCAACCACTGTCATTCCATCATTTTAGAATTTTCAAAATTTTGTTGAACGGTACACTTAATTCGACTCTGACCGTGTTTCACGTGCGCGTTATTCATTGTTCTCGCGGATCAGAGGACGGGGTTGTTTAACCCTCAGAATCCGGATTCGGAGTCAATCATGACCCAGAATTACTATCTTACAGACACGTAAAACAATATACACGCGTGTACTTATTATAACACACGCGTAATCACGTTGCGCAGAAAAATTATCGTTAAAAATCTAATTGCGTGTTGAGAAATAAGGGAAGATTGACACGATGAACTACATCACAGGTGTTCCGAAGCCGGATTGCTTGGGTATCATACACTGTTGACAAATGACAATAACGTTCTATCCGATTCAATAAATGGTAATTACGATGCAAACCAAGGCTTAGCAAGGTAAACATACGTTTAAACTGAAACAGTGACTGCGATGGCTGATACTGCTACTGACGAACGACTGACTCTGTCCAGAATAGCGACGATAACCCCCGAGCACTGCGTGCCCACTAATGCTGGTGATAAAACTGTTTGCCATGTTTAGTGTGCTCTCGCATTGACACGCGATGTATCTCCGACAGATTTAACGAGACAACAGTTTCTGTGTGCTCGATTTCCGGGAGGTGAATCTCGCCATTTGTGCCATTAGGACGATCGTCGCCACTCAAATTACGCCCGATTATGAACAGTACGGTTCGTTGTTTGTTCTTCCCCGTTTCTTGGAGTGCACACGTAACCGAAGGTCAAGATCGCGAGCATCGTGAAATAAAAATTTCACTGGTATGCTTATCTTAGAGTTCACGATAAATCTAGAGCAATAAAACTGTCTGACCGTAGCTACAGCTTCAATGTTACTTTTATTTGGTACACAAGGGTGTCTCATTTAAAAGATTTTGCTACTATGAAGCCCTGAAAAAAACTTTTTTTGGGAATTTTTGTTCAGTGAACGGAGTGTTCATCATAAATGACGCGTTGTCGATTTATTAATATATTTATTGAGAGTATAAAACAATTTTTTATTGAAACTTTTAGAAGTTATTATTATATATCGCACTGAAGTGAACATCTTGAAAAAATTATGCAGTGCTGACGTAGGTGATTGCCAAAGAACTATCAGTACGAATTCCACAGTTGTACGAACAAAAACCGATCGAGCTCGAGAGTTGCACGAGCAACAGCAATAAAGGATCACGTTTGAAGTGCATATTGATACATGTCATTTCACTATCATTCACTCTCCAATCACCCAGACGTAATAACAACAGATTGAATCTGGCAGAGGAATACTACAATTTATTACACGTATCTATTGCATGCCGCAACAAATGGAAATTTCAGCGACAAAAAAATGAAACTTTATGAAGCATTGAAGATCGTACAGAAGATTTGCAAGTTACAGAAGAGGGAATTGTTTGCGATGTGGTGAGAATGTGGGGTCATAGGACCCCCGGTGGAGGCGACATATGCCCCGTGTGTGAGAGCGCGGGGTCATAGAACCCCCGTAGATGGCGCCACAGACCATGTGGTGAGAGCGTGGGGTCATAGAACCCCCGGTGGTGGCGCCAGTGACTCCGTGTGGAGAGAACGCGGGGTCATAGAGCCCCCGGTGGAGGCGCCTGAGACCCCGTGAGGCGAGCACGCGGGGTCATAGAACCCCCGGTGGAGGCGCCAGAGACCCCGTGTGGTGAGAACATGGTCGAAATCTGACTGCCACTTGTGTGTGCTTCCATGAGCAAATTATATGGTAACCCCAGCAACTATGGCAGTTTCTGCAGATACTACTACAGCCCAGGTTTAAAAGACGTAGGCAGTAGTTAGTTTCTGTAGTAACCTGTTGAACCAGATAACTATAATTACCATAGGATTGTACAATATTTATGCAGTTATATTTCAGACAATTCGATGAAATGAAGCTTATATTATCTGACGTATGTTTATTGGAATATACATATATACATATAAATTATAATAATATAAAAGTTTGAAATATAATACGATGCGCTACGGTACAATACGTTTATTCGATTCAATTGCTCCCTTGCGACTACAACATAATGCTATCCGCGTTCGGCGCAGTGCGCTAATACGGAGACCAACGAAATATCACTGTAACACTTAAAAAAGTGTTAAAGTTCCATTTATATCATTGTCCTGTGAAAATGTTCATACTTCCAGCAGCATTCATATTCCAATCAAAGAATTTACAGAATAAGGAAAAGGAATCAAAAGTAATTTTCAGTAGTTTCATACATCATTATCTCGAATAATTTTCTAAAACATTCAAAGTACTAGACATTTTTACACTTTGAATCTCATATCGATTTCTAAAATAATCCTAGTTCGATGTAATATAGAACGTGGTTTTATGAGATATATTCGAGGGTCGCAGCCATTAGCTCGATATTGTCTTCAGTTTACAGTACTTTACCGATGACAATACCGATTGCCCAGGCCTCACCACGAGGAGGTTGCTGCGAGTGGAGGCCCAAGGCAAGTAGATGGAATCACAAGTTCTACATCTACCCACCTTTCACAATAAACCTTATAAATTACTTAAATCTTAACTATATAATACTACCGATACTAAAATCCCTCGGCGGATGACTTCTTTCTTGAGCCTAAACCTATAAAAAAACTAAGTTCCCTCGTCGGTTGTCTTCGTTCTTCAGCTTAGAACTAATATTATCTTAATATTCTAATTAATACGAATTAATGCTAGTAATTCAAAATAACAAATTTAACGCAACGTAGTCGCTAATACTCAAACAAAAGAGATAGACGGAATGGAAAAAGTTCCATCGATCATTTCGTTTACGCACCTAATAT